TAATTTTTGCTCATATGGCTGCCATTCCATACCCCTAATCATTTTTGTTACCCTTTTCTCAACTTTTTCCAATTTCAGTGTATCTTTTTTGAGATGAGGAGACCACATCTGCACACAGTATTCAAGATGTGGGCATACCATGGATTTATTATCTTTTTTTCCTTATGATTCCCAAAGTTCTGTTCACTTTATTGACTGCTGCTTACACATTGGGTGGTTGTTTTTCGGACAACTAGTCACGATTACTCCAAGATTTCTCTCTTAAGTGGTAACAGTTAATTTAGACCCTATCATTCTACATGGATCATAGGAATTATGGTTTCTGATTTATGTACTTTGCATTTATCAACCCTATTATTCTTTAATAAAGTACAATATTATTAGATTAGTACAGTTTATTAAATTAAAAGGCTAAAAGTGTTGATGTGTTTCACAGTCTGGGAAAAGAACACTGTCTAACACAAAACATATTCTATTCCTTGATAAAATGATCAGGAAGTCCAAACCCAACTGAAAGCAGTGATAGGATCAGGAAGATGTAGGTTGTATCAAGTCAAGGGCCTACCTCTTCCCCCATAAATCTACACTGATGTTACTTCAACGAAGTCAATGAACTTTAGGCCCTGTAAAACCAGTATAGGTGGAAGGAGAATTAGTCCCCAGATGCTTGGAGACATTTTAAAACATTACATTTTTTCTCTTATTTATGCGCAAATCAAAATGCTTCCGTTTTTAATCACCACACTCTCTTTTGTAGTAGTCAGATTATTTTCAGTATGACTATTACTTTTGAGTAAAGCTGTTGAAAAATCCAGAAAAAATTCAAACATTTTTCAGCTTTTGTAGATTTAAAAAAAATGGTTTTTCAATAATCAAAAAACTTCCACCACAGATTTTTTTTCCATTTAATTTTATGTCACAATGTTTGGCTTCTATATCAAACTCAGGAATTGTTGACCACTTTTGCTTTTGAATGTCTTAATCTCACATACAAGCATTCCAAACTGAAGATGGTTTGAATATGATCAAAAAAGAAAATGTTTCTCTCTGAGAGCCCAGCTCCACTGTGAAATTATACCATTATTTAGTCTGGATTTTTCTTTAAAAAAAAAAAAAAAAAAAAAAAAATCTGGTACGGATATGAAGATGACCAGGTCTCACAGGCCAGTGTAAACAAGGACAAGGAAGAACAGCATTATGCTAGCTAGTTATGGGGTAATTCCTCATGCTAATAGTGTTTACCCATGACAAACTTATGTGTGGTAAGCACAATTCATCTTGGTCAGCAGTAAGTGGTAAGCATTTTGCCAACTCATTCAATGCCATTTTTAATTGTGTAACTAGAATTACACTTCCTAGTGGGGAAAAAAAAGACTGGGTAGGTCTCTGTTAACCTTTAAAAGCCAACTCCGTAGACAGTGGAACTTCCAAGCACGTTTATCCTTTTTCAGAAGAACGGACTGTGTAAAAAGATTATTTTTAAGAGTGTTATCTGCATTGCTTCAGAAAGCAACACATGGCAATCCCGCTTATGTATTTAAAAAAAAAAACACTATGTAGTTGTATTATTTGTGTAATCCTCTTTGACCTTTCCAGAGGGCCTGATCTTTCTTCCCCTTTTCATCCTCAGGCCATCTCCCGCTTGTGTGAAGACAAGTATAAAGACTTCAGGAAATCTGCAAAGAAACGGTCAGTTAGTGCTGACAATCTGACTCTGATTAGATGGTCTCCTGCCATCATCTCCTAACAGTGAAGTCTGGAGTATTTCAACGGAAGGACTGTTTCATTCATCCAGTTTTTTGGAGGTGTGATGGGGAGAAAACAAGACTTTGGGTTTTTACATTTAGATCTGTTAATCTGCCTTTACAGTGCCTCCCCCTTGCGTAGCACATACAAATAAAAAATTGAATGGAAGGAGAAATCAGTACAGTATACAGGAGAGGAGATTGGAAGCAACATTTTTTTGTCACTTTCTTCACAGCTTTACCCTTTTTTTGGAAGAAACAGCTAATCATATGCTTGAAAGAGAAAAGAAATGGAGTAGAGGCAGAAACTGATTAGAGAATGTGCCATTTTTTAAAATATGCTGTACTCGTCAACAGAAAAGATGGCATGAAACCAAACCACAAATAAGTTTGGCCATGCCACTATATGAATGGAGTTGAATTATTTCATCTTAAATTATTCTCCTTAGTATCTTCTATCAATATATATATATATTTTTTGCATTCCTCCTTGCTACTGCTTTGGGTTATTTCTCCCAATCTTCTGCAGAGCAGGAAATACAAAGTCTGTATCTACAGTAGCACAAGCCTCTGAATAAGTAGTTTTGGTGTTTTTATTCATTGCACTTTTCTCCATAAGTTGACTTATTTGCATTATTTTTCATAATCATTATGCCTATGTTATGTTTTATATGCCTTTTATTGTACTTAAAAATAACTTGACCATAGTGCTGAACCAAAAGTGTATATGGAGATCAGATGATCACTCGTAACTTCATTATGTATTTTATTTATAGTATACGTAGGTGTGTGTGCCTACCTGAGTTCTTGGAATCATTTATATTTCCTTAATATAAACATAAGATTGTTGAAGTATTCAATGATGATGAGACTTGGGCTAAATTGTTGAAATTTCCATGAGTCCTTTTTGCAGATTTTCATAACATTAGACGGTTAGCAAAATTCATTATATGAAAAAGGGTTTTTTTTTGTATGGCCCAACTAGTTCATTCTTTCACCTCCAGGCCCATGTTTGCAAGCAATAGCCTCAATTTTTATATGTTTACTTTAACTCAAAGTTAGTTTGTATAAAATAAAAAAACTTTAAAAAAAAATTGTTACAGTGAAAAGGTCCATAGAAGAGCAGAATGTTAATCTTTCCCATGGTATTTCTCACAAGTAGATTGAATTTTAAAAATATATAATAAAAACCCTTGCATTTTTCAGTGTGGGTGCTTATAGAAATTTAAACAAAATTCAAACTGTGAAGACCCATTTTCTCCTATGTTGATCATTGTATTTTTCTGTTGTTGGGTCCCCTTTCATGCCTATTGCCTCCTGAGCTACACAAAAACCTTTTTATATCAAATAATGTATCTATGTAAAAACACTTGTTTGCTCTCTAATGCTTGTGGATATCCTTTATGAAGATTTTTTGCACATTTTAGAAAGATACAGTTGAAAAATCTGCATCCCCTGAATTATTTTTTTGCAAGTATCCTTGAAGTAAATATCAGCAGACTTCCTGTATTTTACTTGCTTTATGCACTACTTCAGTAAATGATAGAGTCCATATTAGTTTTATTAAGCCCTAAGGGCTTATACAAGACATACAAGTTCATAGACACATGATTCATTCCCTGGGCAGTGCTGATCAGATGCCTTGACAGTGGAGAGGCATTGAAAGAATCGAAGTACTAATACCAAACAGAGTTTTCTATTAATATTCTTGTGATATGGCATAGTATGATATATGAAAGTTTTGCCCGTAACTTCTCTTGATGTCTTTCAGGGCACTAAAAGTAATTTAATTCTGATCCTTTATCAGTGTGCCAATGGTTTAGAACTGCGAGTAGCCAGATCCATTTCTTTTTCTTGAACGTCTAATGTAAAGATCACTCTTTATAAATAACAATAATAAAAAAATAGAGCATTTGAAACTCAATTCAAAATATTGCTAAGAGGACATTTTCCTAGCATTTGGACTTGGAGATCCCTGCCAAGTGTAAGTTTAGGTTTTACAGATATGTAAAATGTTTTGTTTTATCAAGAATTTGAAAAACAATTTTCTGTTATCTTTATAGCAGGAATATTAATATTCATATTTCTAGTGATAGAGATTAATTCTGAACTATGTAAAAATCTCAGTGCATCTGCTATAATTTTTGTGGAGTTTATTAAACTACTTTAAAGATTGTATAGTCTATTTATTGTATGTATGTACATACATTCTGATAAAAAAAAAAGTGGATTCTGTAAAACCTGGCTCAGTCATGTTTAAACTATTGAATATTGTTTTAGCCTTGTGCACTGGACTCTACCTCTGTATAGGAAAATTTTCCATATCCTTAATTAGTACTGATTCTGTGGTTAACTTGGTTGTTTCTTGCACTAAGAATTAAAAAGAAAATCTGCTCTGTGTATTTTTTTTCTTTAGTTTCAGATTTGCATTTAGAATCACTTACATTTGGCTAGACTTTTCTTTCTCACATTGTGATGGAATACTTTGCTTTCTGTTCTGGTTTCTTCTAAGTCTGCCACAGATACACATAACAATACCATATTTATCAATAAATCTGAGTATCATTTGCTCACAAGATACTCAATTCCATGTAATTAAAAATGAAATTATTTCAGATTATACTGTGTTAATGTCATTTTGGAAATGTCATTGGATGGCAAATATAACCATAAGAGGGAGATGGTTTTTTTTTCAGGAACAAACAAAAAGAGGCCAAATAATGTTTTATCCACACACATAGGTTATGGATTTGTTTTCAGCACAAAGTGCGTTGTGCCCATGAAAGCTTGTGGTACCATCTACATTTTTTGTTAATCTCTAAGGTGCTGCAGGACCATCCATTGCTTTTTAAGTACCACAAAAGTACAGTAAATTCTGTGTTATCCGGCACACTCGGGGATTAGGGCGTTCCGGTTATCTAAAAATTCCAATTAGCTGAGGGTCCCATCAACCTAGGAAAAACAAATGGACAATCATAGTAAAACTCAGGTTTTTAACATTGGTAGTTTTGGAGTGTGAGGCAGTTGGTCTCTCATTTCTATTTTGAGTTAAAGATGATTAGTACTTCTTAAATAAAAAAAAAATTGTTAAGCCAATCATGGTAAACCAAGCCAGGCCTGTGCGCCTGAAGATGTGATACTATTGTGGCTGGGGGCAATGCTGGTTAACACAGTTTTCTGGTTAACAGAGTGCCGGATAACAAAGGTTTCACTGTATCATTTCAAAATTCTGCAGAGGTGTTTCTGCATTTGTTATTCAGCTGTTGTCTTAAAAATAGAACACCAAGTTCATATAAGTCCTCAGATATCATTATCTTAATGAGTTATACACTGTTTGGGTCTCATGGGCCCTTGCATTATAAGACTAAACAGTGAGAATTGGAGAAATGTTTGTTTGTAGATGACATCTTGTAATGGTTTTTCTGTGCACCCTTTTACATCCAGCTTCAACAGCAGTTGATGTTGCAGTTCGTGAATCATTTCAGCCTTTGTTTCCTCTTTTTTGTAACCACTCTTCCTTTAGGTTTTCTTTTATTAAGTTTTTAAATATTGGAATCAATATATAAATAATTTGTATGGAAAAGAGCTGTTTAACAGCAAAAAATAGAAAGGTTTTTCAAAAATATATATTTATACATATACACTCCTTTTACTAATAAAAATATTAAAATTCCTGGATCATGGCTGCGTGACTTTTCACTGGTTGGCATTTTCTGCCTCTCTGAGGCTGACTGGCCTCTATCTGGCACGTTCAAATTATGTTTTAAGCACCAGTGTCTTGAATAACCACCTGCATGTTTTTAGTGCAGCCATTATCCATTTTAAATATTTCTTCCTTTATCCACTGCTTTCTTTACTATTGCTAGATAAACCCTGGGTATGGCGTAAAGCCTAGAAGTTGCAAACTCCTCAGCAGAAGTTACAGAGCTTCCTAATGTAGTTTTTTTTTGTATATGGAGGCAGATGACGAAGTGACATCTGGCAATCTTGGCTATGTACAGAAAATAGCATTATGTAGGAGGAGGTACAAAAACACAAGTTTGGAGCGCCTGAGACGAAAAAGCCTTGACAGATGAAGCAACAGAAATTGTTTACAGACACACATTGGTCACAGATGTGATATTTTCTAATGATACATCGAAACTGCAGGTGGAAATGCTTGCTCAGAACTAATATTGTGTTCTATCATGGACAATTCACCAACAGCTCTTACCTTAACAACCATTTAAAAGTGCTAGTTTATAGAATTCTGTACACACCGTCCCTGTAACATAAATACATTTTTTTCTCCCAAGTGTTGAGGGTTGTTACAATGCATCCAATGTTTCTCCTGCAAAGGAAATGTCTTGGGCTGACCCCTTCATGGTGTCACTAGTATATGTTATAAGACTAAAGTGTCAATGGGTGTCAGGACTTCAATCCATACAGAAACTAAGCACAATCATTTCAAGTGTTCAGAGCCATGCAACGCAGCAGGTGTCTTTCTCCTGAGGAAATACCTTTTCTCTCTTCCAGCAGGCCATCCCTTTCCCTCCCCCTGGACTAGCAAGATCACCGCTATTTCCCTGTCCCTGAGGCCACAAAAGAGGGAGGTGGGAACTAGAACTGGTATAGAACTGAGGGGCTAGCATAGGATGTGCCCTGGCCCTTGTCAAGGGAAAATACATTTTATTGGGTATGGAAAGATGAAGAAGAGAAGCAGCTGATCATGAAGAGACAAAAGAAGGCATTGTGGGCAGAGATGGTAAGACCAGAAATTACCATTCTAATCATCTAGTTTGACCTCCTGCCTAACAGCAAACCTAGAATTTTACCCAAGTAATTCCTTTAGCAAGAGCTTATCTTCTGATTGAGCTAAAGCTCATCTTTTAAAAGGCATCAGATTCTTGAACTAGTCTTCCCTCCTTGTGTATGGCATAAATCTACAGTATGACTTCAAAAAATAAATGAAAATTGATGACGTTTTGATATCAATAGAGCAGCTGCTCCTCTGCATTTTGTTTTGCTTCAAGTGTGCAAACTCATGTATAGCATTTCTGTTTATTTTTGTAACATTACTCCTCAGGCAAGCTGAAAGAAACCCTGAGAGAGCCAGAAATAGCAGGAGACAGATTCAAGCTTAAGTACTTGACAGAGCAGTATTAATGCATTGTTTCTTGTAGTGATGAATTTACCTAACCTTGTAGTTCATCATAATCACTCTTGTTTGCCTCTGGTTTTTTTTTAGTTCATTTCCTGATGTACATTCTTTATTAGCTGTAAAACCTGTATGGCAGATCATACAAAAATAAGAATACATTAAAAGCTAAAGTCTCTTCTAATGTTTCAGTATGGAGCTAGCAAAGGTGCTTTCGTGCAGAACAGGTTCTAACTTTTTAAATGGCCATAAGCCTATACATACACAGCATTTTTTGTTCTGTAGGCAGAATTATTTCCCCTGTAGCAGTAAGCCAGCTATATCAATAGTCCTGTTAGGTCTATGTCCACATGTGTGTTTTATAGGAGTTTTGAGGTTTTTTTAAATACGACAGCTGTGTTGTCACATTACAATGGGATCACCTTAAAATTACAGCATGCAGAAGAGCCATTTCCTGAGGCCTCATGTAGGTCAAAGATAAGCAAAGAATTTGAGTTTTGTCAAATTTGTTACAGGGGAACTTTTGAACATGAGGATTAGTCACAGCTGGGGATTTGAACAAATGTCACGCTCTAACTGCTAAGTTTGCATGCTGATAGCTATAGCCTGATTTGCCAGGTGCATTAGAAAACTGGCAACCTGCGTGGAGCTGGGAAGAGAGCTCCCTAAAAGCATTAAACACATTCTCAGTCATTACTTCAGGAAGGAAAGGGCAATGGTTTACTTCCTTTAATAACAAAGTCTAGCTCTACCAGCGGAGTGACAAACAGAGGGTGTGCGTGTGTGGTGGGAAGGAGCACGGTGTGAGAGAGAGAGAGAGAGAGGGGGAGAATTTTCAGCCCACTGAGCTGTTTAACCACAGCATAGGGGCCATTTAGACTACTTGGCTACGTCTACACTGGCCCCTTTTCCGGAAGGGGCATGTAAATTTCACTAGTCGTCGTAGGGAAATCCGCGGGGGATTTAAATATCCCCCGCGGCATTTAAATAAAAATGTCCGCCGCTTTTTTCCGGCTTTTAAAAAAGCCGGAAAAGAGCGTCTAGACTGGCCCCGATCCTCCGGAAAAAGTGCCCTTTTCCGGAGGCTCTTATTCCTACTTCCCCTTTGGGGAACCCCACCATGCTGCTCTGCTGTGCCAGAAGCTCTGGATTCCCCCAGCCATGCCACAGATTTGGGTTACTGCCCCCCAGCAGACCAACATGGACATTGAACTAGCTTAGTGGGCTCATCTATAAGATCATTGATTACATCCAGGAACCCACCACCCAAAAGGGACCAAAACCCCAAGTGAATCAGTCTTATTCTGTGTAAAAGTTTTACACAGAGAAAGCTCATAAAGATGTCCACCTCTTTTACTGATGAAAGAGAGATGCACATTGGTTGCTGTCTTCCTCAGGTTACAGTTATTTAACTGGGCTTAATAAAAATGCTTTTTGTTTATCATCAAGTATAAAAAGAAAGATTTAAGTGGTTGCAGGTTAAAACAGACAGATCAAAGTAACTACTAAGTTAAATAGAGACGCCAACTAACTCTAAGACGCAAAGAAACTTGTTACATGTGATTTTACCCTAAACGGTAATCATCTCAGGCCAGAGTTGATCCTTTTGTGACCTTGGCCCAGCAGCTTTGCCTTCACCTTTTTGATACAGTTCTTTGCTTCCTGGTTCCTTCATGTGTATCCTCTCAGAACGGGCAGGCAATTTCTCAAGCCAGCTGAAGTCAAAAAAGGAATGATTTATTTTCATTCCTTAAATAGACTTTCCTCAGGACTGGAGCTCTTTGTTTAGCTCTCCCCATCCCTCATGGAAAAGTACCAGATTAAGATGGATTCCAGTAACAGGTAGCATGGTCACATGTCTTTCTATGATCAACCACAGTTTGGGATTACAGGAAAAATAAAACCATTCATGGGTAGTTGGTTTGAGTATTGTGCCATTAAGCTCCTAAAGTATCATTAATGGCCCTCATTAGCACATTTAGAATTTTTTTAAAAGATTCACACTTCATATTTCTAATTTCATATACAAAAATGATAAATGTACAAAAATAAGATATACAGATTCAGTAGAATGTAACTTTAAGATGTTATATGACTTGTTTTGCATAAAGTGTCTTTGAATCATGCATATTCATGAGACAATTTTCAAAAGCAGGAGAGGCATGACGTGCTTGAGCTGCTTATTTAATTCTCCAGCAAAGGATGTGTATATTAAATGAAATGACAGATTATTTATTATTGTTACCTTTATTGTTGCGATGGA